AATAAAATCCCTTCTGATGCTGGCTAAAGCAGGATTTTTATTGTGAAAGGCCAGACTGTTTTGAATAGGTTCTAGAAGAAACGGAACCACTCGATCAAAATCAGAACTGGTTCTGGAAGAGGCGAATCAGAACCTGTCCAGGAGACACCCATTGGTTCTGAACCGGTTTTGGACTCATCTGGTTCTGGTACCGGGGCTCTGATCTGTTGAACAGTGAGCATGGTCCTGATCAAAGATCCAAAAGCGCGCCCCACGTTTGGAGGCCTCAGTCCTCGACGTTGCGGGTTCGACTCCCGATCCCGGCGACCTTTGCTGCATGTCTTCCCTCCTCTCCTCGCCCTCCTTCCTGTCTGCCTACTGTCAAAAACACGAGCCACTAGCGCCGCGAAAACTTCGAAGAAAAAATAGATTCCAGCAGGACCGGTCTGAGAGCGGTTCTGTAAAAGGAAGAATTGGGCCTGAACGGGTTCTGGTTCCTTTAAGAGGCTGAGTCAGTGATTCTGGAGGTTCTGGTTAGGGCCTGCAGGTGGTTCTGGTCCCGGGCCCGTGTGCATGTAGGTTACTGGGCTAAAGAGGCCTGGTTGGCCTGGATTCTGGAGGTTCTAATCAATCGGCTCCGTCAATAGACCGATCGGGCCGACCCAGTAAATCCAGTGATCACAGCGCTTCCCGTTCCCTGTTTCTGAAATAGGGCCGGGATGAATGGAGGACGGCCAGAACCCGAACCGGACCCAAAGAGAGCCCGAATCGGAGCTTAAATGGTTCTGAGAATTAAACCCACAGTAGGACAATAAATCAGCAGAACAACACAAGAACTGGGTCAGAACCACCAGGTTCTGATTGTTGCACCGGGTCAGAACCATCATCTCTCTGAGTTAAATGATTCTGGAAGAAAATCTGGAAGAATCCTCCCAAGTTAACCTGGGATTGTGTCATAGTTCTGGCTTGGGTCAGAACCGCTAAACCTCACAGGTTCTGTTCCAAGCTTACCTGTAGAACTGCTGGTTCTGGTTCTGTGGTTCTGCTGAGCCAAGGCTGATGAATGGCTTTGTAATGATTACCCAAATAGCAGAACCGGGTCGCGGGTCGTGTTGATGGCTAATCTGCCATCTCTTAATAAATGACTGAAGGGGAACTCCAGAGACTGGACCAGAACCAGGTTCCTTCCGGTTCCGATGATTTCTGATAACTTATTGATTTATTTATTGCTCAACCAGCGAAGGCGACTGAACCGCTCCGGGAAAATCACCAGAGAAAGAAAGAAAAGTCTACAATCAACAACAGAAACAAAGGAAAAGCTAGGCTAGGCTAGGCTAGGCTATGATGCCTTGTATTAAAACTTGTCTAAAGAAAGAAAGATGGCGGATCGGAGGGGAAGCAGAGGTGCAGTCCAGGGAGTCAAACATCCCCACTCTCTCCAAGAGCTGGTTAAGCTAGAAGATATAAAGCCCATAAAACTACTAAAAGATTAAAAAATAGCATTCAAAAAGGACTTTTTTTAAAGCTAATTTAGAAATATTTGCAAGAAAATCTTGCAGAATTTGTCTTCATGTATGACGGTAAATGCGTCTTTTTAACACTCGCCACATCAAGCGAGAAGGACGTCTCTGCAGCTAACAGGAAGGGGGCGGGACGGACCGCTGTCAGTGTCAGACCTTATTTGAAGTCCTGACCATTCCACTCTGGAAGGGAAGGGGGCGCTGTTTGCTATATTATCCGCAGCCTCCCGTTTTTATTTTTCTTGAGTTCTGTGATATATCTTCACCTTCAGGAAGGAGGTACTGGCTAGTCAGAGCCGCTAGAGAGAGGAGCTAGCTTCTAGCTACTAGCTGTTAGCTACTAGCTGTTAGCTACTAGCTGCTAGCTACTAGCTGCTAGTTACTAGCTGTTATCTACTAGCTGCTAGCTACTAACTGTTAGCTACTAGCTGCTAGCTACTAGCTGTTAGCTTCTAGCTGTTAGCTACTAGCTGTTAGCTGTGGCTCTGCATCACAAACACAAAGTCCTCCAGTAAGTAAATACATAAAACACATTTTATTTAGTTTCACTGCTCAGTTTGAAGAAACACATTCACATTAAAAATCAGACTGCAGTTTATTATTTTTACTTTGACTGAATCACAATAAACTTATTAGTAAAACTGCTTTCAAGACTTCAGCTTTTTTGTCATCTTATCTTATTCATATTTAGCTCTTTACCTTTTCGTTAACTAGGAGAGTTTGAAACTGGAGGGAGGAGCTGAGCAGGTGGACATGAGAAAACTAAGTTATGTTTTTATGTCTCACTGTTTTCAACATAGAGCTTTTAAAACCCTCAAATAAGATCTGAATACTTTTCTATATAAACCCTGGTGCTTTAAATGTAGTTATTATTCTGCCCAGATATTAGTTTCTAGCAACTTATTTGTTCTTCGTCATCAGGACATGGCAAAACTAGAAAAGGTTTTCAAAATAAAGCAACTTAAAAAGTTGTAATTTAAATAGGCCATAACTTGTATTGGGAGCCATTTCAATAAATCAGTGTTTATGAGGAATTTCATTAATGGCAGTTCCTCATTAAAGCTTTTTATTTAGAACCTTAAATGTTTGTAAAGGTGTAGCAAAGATTAGATTAGATATAGTTTTACTTCTCAACAGTTTGCTTACTGAGAATGAAACATGTTTGATGTGCATTACAAGTCATTTCTGATCCTGCAGATTGAATGTAGTTTAAAAACCTTTTAAACCACAATTTACGTTACATTTCACTGTAACTTTGGCGCCCCCCCAAAGTTGGTCTTAAGAAATGTTTCTGTTTATTGTTCCCACAGTAATGAGATGGGATTTCCGCCTTGATACCACGCAGCGGTCCATTTCCAAATAAGGTGTGAGACTGTTTGCTGCAGCCAGGTGGATTTGCATCAGTCACACAGTAACTTGACATGAAGTCAGCAGAGAAGCAGAAGGAAAAAACACAGCTTGATGGAATTTGATTTGCTTGATAAGTTTTTGGCTCTGAGCTTTCAGTTTGATCTACCGCAAGTCGGTCCCAGTCGGAGGAGGCATTCATAAGTGTTCAGGTGTTTGTATCTGGTCATGCAGCGGAGCGGCCCGCTTCAATCGGACCAGAAACAAAGAGAACAAAGCTGCTGAGAGTTTCAGTTTTGTGGTGGAAACTAAAGAGGATTGAAAAGATTTGCACCCATGTGGACTCTGACCACACACACACACACACACACACAGACACACACACATACACACACACACAGACACACACACGGTAATCTCCTCTCCTGCCGCTGAAATCCAGGTAAACAGAACATGAAGAAGACCTGCATCTTGATTCATACACCACTGCCCGGCTCCATGTCTATCCGTGTGTGTGTGTGTATAGGTGTGTGTGTGTGTATAGGTGTGTGTGTGTGTATAGGTGTGTGTGTGTGTATAGGTGTGTGTGTCTGTATAGGTGGGTGTGTGTGTTTGTGTGTATAGGTGTGTGTGTGTGTGTGTGTATAGGTGTGTGTGTGTGTGTATAGGTGTGTGTGTCTGTATAGGTGGGTGTGTGTGTTTGTGTGTATAGGTGTGTGTGTGTATAGGTGTGTGTGTGTGTATAGGTGTGTGTGTGTATAGGTGTGTATGTGTATAGGTGTGTGTGTGTGTGTATAGGTGGGTGTGTGTGTGTGTGTGTATAGGTGTGTGTGTCTGTATAGGTGGGTGTGTGTGTGTGTGTATAGGTGTGTGTGTGTGTGTGTGTATAGGTGTGTGTGTGTATAGGTGTGTGTGTGTGTATAGGTGGGTGTGTGTGTGTGTGTGTATATAGGTGTGTGTGTGTGTATATAGGTGTGTGTGTGTGTAGGTGGGTGTGTGTGTTTGTGTGTATAGGTGTGTGTGTGTGTGTATAGGTGTGTGTGTGTGTATAGGTGTGTGTGTGTATAGGTGGGTGTGTGTGTGTGTGTATATAGGTGTGTGTGTCTGTGTAGGTGGGTGTGTGTGTTTGTGTGTATAGGTGTGTGTGTGTGTATATAGGTGTGTGTGTGTGTATAGGTGGGTGTGTGTGTATAGGTGTGTGTGTGTGTATAGGTGTGTGTGTGTATAGGTGTGTGTGTGTATAGGTGTGTGTGTGTGTGTGTGTATATAGGTGTGTGTGTCTGTATAGGTGGGTGTGTGTGTATAGGTGTGTGTGTGTGTATAGGTGTGTGTGGTGTGTGTGTGTATAGGTGTGTGTGTGTGTATAGGTGTGTGTGTGTGTATAGGTGTGTGTGTGTGTATAGGTGTGTGTGTATAGGTGTGTGTGTGTGTGTGTGTCCCTCTGAGTTCCTCTTCAGATAAAAACTGTTGTCAGGAGGAACCATGTGGGTGCGTTTACTTTCCCCACCCAGAACAAACAAGAGGAACCAGTCTAACCTTTGACCCCCACTCTTTATCAATAAGCATCCAGTAAATGCTATGACATCATCAGAGGGGCGGGGCATCAGGTGGCAGGTGTTCTGGAGGAAGTAGTGCCCTTCTTCCTCTTGTTCCTGTTTGTTCCTCCTGTAGCTGCCTGCTAGCATGGTGCGTTCACTGGTCAGGAAAAAGGTTAGAAATTACAGAGTGGCTGTGAGGTGAGCTTAGAGAATACATTCATGTTACCAGAAAGAAAGTTGTATGATAAATAATCCGGGAAGTTTTACAACAAAGTCTAAATAAAATTAGGTCAAATTTGTAGCAATATGACATCGATATTTTCCTGCCAGAATAAAGTCGCAGTGATGCATGGAAAGTCGTACAAAAATAAAGTCCTCAAAAAGTTGGACAAATTGGAGAATAAATAAAGTTGTAATCTGAGAAAAAGCAATCTTGTTTTAAACTGTTTAAACCAGTGGAAAATGTTCCAGAATGCTTTTAAACTGGTCCCCGTTGGGACCGTCCCCGTTGGGACCGTCCTCGGTTCCGTTGGGACCGTCCCCGTTGGGACCGTCCCCGGTGGGACCGTCCCCCGTCCCAGTTGGGACCGTCCTCGGTTCCGTTGGGACCGGTTCCGTTGGGACCGGTTCCGTTGGGACCGTCCTCGGTTCCGTTGGGACCGTCCCCGGTTCCGTTGGGACCGGTTCCGGTGGGACCGTCCCCGTCCCCGTTGGGACCGTCCCGGTTCCGGTGGGACCGTCCCCGTTGGGACCGTCCCCCGTCCCCGTTGGGACTGTCCTCGGTTCCGTTGGGACCGTCCCCGTTGGGACCGTCCCCGTCCCCGTTGGGACCGTCCCGGTTCCGTTTAAGTCTCTCTGTTTTGGCTGCCTGTGGGTTTTTCCTCCCTAATCGTCGCCTTGCAGGCAGCTGTACTGCAGATACAGTCCGGTTTCCATGGAAACGGGGTGGGAACAAAAGCCAGTCCTGGGAAAAGTAATCACTGAATGTGCAAACTGGGTCATAAATCAGCTCTGGGTTCATTCAGCCTGGATGGGAGGTTCTGACGGGTTTGAACCGGACCATCGGAGGTTCTGACGGGTCGAAACCGTCACATGGGCTAGCGATGAGTTCAGGAACCTGAAGGGTGGTGAGGAGGTTTGCTGTTTTTTGGCGGATCAGTAAAACGCTTCCGACTAAAATTGATCCAGAGAGAACCGACATTCCGGGATCAATAACTGATCAGCAGCGTTGAACTAGAGGTTCAGTCTCTTCGCTGTTATGTTTCTGTGGAAGAAAAACTTCAACACTAAATTAGATACCAGTAGGAAGTGAGGGAAAGTTTGGTGGAAGGAAAACACCAAGAGGGAATCAAGATTTCTCAGGCCAAAGGAAAAGAGCTGCTGGGAGTTTAGGTTCTGGTGTTCATCACACCTGGATGGCTCTGGTTCTGGTTGTTTCCCTGATGTGTGTGTGTGTGTGCGTGTGTGTGTGTGTGTGTGTGTGTGTGTGTGTGTGTTCCAGCTGAGCGTCGCTGTGCCGCATGATGAACGGATTCAATCCTCCAGCTCCGAACGTCTTCAGCTCCAACATCAAGTGAGTACATAATGATGACATCATCATGATGTCATCACCATTTAATTAACTCAAAGCTTTGATCTTTTACATCATTTACAGTTTTGATTCTTCAGTTAAAATTTCAAAGTGTGTGTGTGTGTGCGCGCCATCAGTCAGCTGATCCAGTCTTTCATGAGCTAATCTTAGTCCGACTATTTGATCAATAATCGGTTTATTTTGATAAGTCATTGATCTGCAGGCTGCTCCTGTCGCATAAATAGATTAATTCGTCATAAATCTGAAAACAAACTTTAAGCAGGTAACAATGTTTCTTTTTTTAAAAGTCTTTATTCTTGATTTTAATTTAGTTTTATTATTTTATTGGGAACAGAAAATCAAGGAAAAACATCAATCAGTTTCACTTTGAAGTTTCTCATTAAATTATTGTAATGATCTAATTTATTAAACGAGTCTGTAAAAGGAGGAGTTCATCCATCCTCACTGGGGCTGGTTGGATGCCTGGATGGATGGATGGATGCCTAGTTGGATGGTTGCATGAAAGGTTGGTGGGATGGTTGGATGAATGGTTGGTTGGATGCCTGGTGGGATGGTTGGATGAATGGTCGGTGGGATGGTTGGATGAATGGTTGGTGGAATGGTAGGATAAAGGGTTGGTTGGATGCCTGGTGGGATGGTTGGATGAATGGTTGGTTGGATGCCTGGTGGGATGGTTGGATGAATGGTCGGTGGAATGGTTGGATGAATGGTCGGATGAATGGTTGGTGGAATGGTTGGTAGAATGGTTGGATGAATAGTCGGTGGGATTGTTGGATGAATGGTTGGTTGGATGCCTGGTGGGATGGTTGGATGAATGGTTGGTGGAATGGTAGGATGAATGGTTGGTGGAATGGTCGGATGAATGGTTGGTGGAATGGTTGGATGAATGGTTGGTGGAGGTGGAATGGTTGGATGAATGGTTGGTTGGATGCCTGGTGGGATGGTTGGATGAATGGTTGGTGGAATGGTTGGATGAATGGTTGGTGGAATGGTTGGATGAATGGTTGGTGGAATGGTCGGATGAATGGTTGGTGGAATGGTTGGATGAATGGTTGGTGGAATGGTTGGATGAATGGTTGGTGGAGGTGGAATGGTTGGATGAATGGTTGGTGGAATGGTTGGATGAATGGTTGGATGCCTGGTGGGATGGTTGGATGAATGGTTGGTGGAATGGTTGGATGAATGGTTGGTGGAATGGTTGGATGAATGGTTGGTGGAGGTGGAATGGTTTGATGAATGGTTGGTGGAATGGTTGGATGAATGGTCGGTGGGATGGTTGGATGAATGGTTGGTGGAATGGTTGGATGAATGGTTGGTGGGATGGTTGGATGAATGGTTGGATGGATGGATGGATGAATGGTTGGTGGGATGGTTGGATGGATGGTCGGTGGGATGGTTGGATGATTGGTTGGTGGGATGGTTGGATGAATGGTCGGTGGGATGGTTGGATGAATGGTCGGTGGGATGGTTGGATGAATGGTTGGTGGAATGGTTGGATGAATGGTTGGTTGGATGCCTGGTGGGATGGTTGGATGAATGGTTGGTTGGATGCCTGGTGGGATGGTTGGATGAATGGTCGGTGGGATGGTTGGATGAATAGTCGGTGGGATGGTTGGATGGATGGTTGGATGGATGGTTGGATGGATGGTTGGATGGATGGTCGGTGGGATGGTTGGATGAATGGTTGGATAGATGGTCGGTGGGATGGTTGGATGAATGGTTAGTGGAATGGTTGGATGGATGGTTGGATGAATGGTTGGATGAATGGTTGGATGGATGGTTGGATGAATGGTTGGATGGATGGTTGGATGGATGGTCGGTGGGATGGTTGGATGAATGGTTGGATAGATGGTCGGTGGGATGGTTGGATGAATGGTTGGATGAATGGTTGGTGGGATGGTTGGATGAATGGTTGGATGAATGGTTAGTGGAATGGTTGGATGAATGGTTGGATGGATGGTTGGATGAATGGTTGGATGGATGGTCGGTGGGATGGTTGGATGCCCGCTCGGCCTCCTGGCGGTTCTGACTGATCTGTCTCTGTTCCAGTGGACCCGGCGCTCCGTCTCCAGATCCTCCCAGGAATAAAGCCAAGAGTGGTGCCAAAGCTCTGTATGGTGAGTCTGGTTCTGGTTCTGTTCTGGTTCTGTGGACCTGGATCAACGCCCCCTGCTGTCGTCTGTCCTGACAGGACCAGAGGAATCGTATTTCCTTCGATCGTCTTCCAAACAGAAAAAGAAAAGTCAGAAAAGTGAGCAGTGTGACCTGGTCAGACCCAGTCCGACCTGGTGTGTGGTTCTGATTGTGACATTTGGGTTCTGTGTTGAAGTGGTTCCGGTGGAACAAGCTGCTTTGCTTCACCAGAACCGTCTAACCGGATCAGAACCCTGAAAACCGCTCTGCTCTCTGTGCTGCAGCTGCCGGTTCTGGCTCTGGAGTCACACAGACCCAGAAAGCAGTACCACCAGGGTGGAACCAGTAAAACCAGTTGGATCCCAATCAGGTCGCAGCACAGAGGGTGGCGCTGTGTTTCCCAGCATGTTGTGGTTCCGAGTGTCGGCGGTTCCGAGTGTGGTTCTGTCTGTCCCTTTGGGGAGGCGCAGCCTCGCCGGCTGTGATTGGCTCCTGCGGCCACTTCCTGTTGAGACGTTTGACGGGTTCTGCGGTGAGCAGCTGCTGGGGTTTACGGAGCGTCCCTGAACGCATCAGGAGTATTTCATCCGCTGTGAGCGACTGATAACCGTCAGATCAAAGCAGACCGATGGCTGAATGATGGATCAATACTGAATGATCCGCTCCGGGTCTTATCTCCTCCCGCCAGGTCACCTGAATGTCCACAGAGCAGCTGAACTCATGTGACCTCAAGTTAAACCACCTTTGTTACCATAGCAATGACACCGACCCCAGAGAGGTTCTGGATCCTCCAGAACCGTGTGCGATTAGAACCTGGCGGCGAATCTGTGGGTTCAGCAAAGGTCACTCTGTCAGGATTTCCCTCAAACTGATTCAATGATTTAGTTTTCTTTATAAAACTAAAATCTGACCCTGGGATCAGGAATCTGGAATCTCTCATGTGTCTCCTACCTACGGAAGGGGATTAGTGCCAACAAACAGTATAAAAAACAATTCAGACTTTTTTTTTTTTTCTCAGAATCATAATTGTTTAGATAGTTTCTGCACCCAGAGACAAATCTAGTCTGAAAATTAGATTCGGAGCAGATTTTCGGTGTGAATAAAATCCAGGTTTACATATCTTATAACCAGGATGAAATAGTTTTTATATTCATAAGTTTTACAAGCTAGAAACATATCTTATAGACATTTAAGAATGGTTATTTGCATTTTTCATAGTCTCACCCAGAATTGTCAGGATTTTTATGTTTTGTTTTTTGGCCCTATCTAGCTTCCGTACTTTCTGTCAGAACATCCTGCAAGGTGAACATATCAGATTCCCAAATTGAATGGATGTGTTGTTTGTTCAGAACAAAGGAAGAACTTCTCCAGAAGCAGCATCAACAGCCTGACGGACACGTCGCAGTACCAGGTGGAGGTGAGTTCTGCTGGTTCTGGTTCGACTCTGGCCACCGGTCGGGTTTGCTGAAGCTTCAGGAACCTCTTCGTCTCTCAGCACCTCACCACGTTCGTTTTGGACCGGAAAGATGGGATGATCACGGTGGACGACGGCGTGCGGCGGCTGCGCCTGCTGGACGCCAAGGGGAAGGTGTGGACGCAGGAAATTCTACTGCAGGTGGAGGACAAGGCGGTCAGCCTCATCGACCTGGAGTCACAGGTAGAATGGGAAGTCCAGAACCAGAACCTGTTAGAACCTCTGGCTGGTTCTGGATCAGTGTGTTTTTTCGATCTGGACGTTCAGCTCTGATCTGGTATGAGTCTTGGGACGCCGCCCTGAGGAACCCCTCTGAATTCATTCAGCTCTGATTCATATTTCGAGTCTGTAAGGAGTAGATCTATGTTGAAAGCGCCGGCGGTCCGATGCGTTTCAGAACGAGTTGGAGAACTTCCCCATGGGCTCCATCCAGCACTGCCAGGCGGTGATGAACGCCTGCAGCTACGACTCCATCTTGGCGCTGGTTTGCAAAGACTCGGGTCAGAGCAAGGCGGATCTGCACCTGTTCCAGTGCGACGACATCAAGGTACCGGGCCACGATCCCGACCCGTCTCATCTCAGCACAGACAATGGTTTTTGTTGCTCCAGCGTTTTATTTCTGTATTCACTGTCGTACATAGCAGCTGTTCCAGATGTGTTCTGTCTCGTCAGTTTGGTTCTGATGGAAATATTTCCACACCTGGGGCTTTTATGTTTCATCTGGAATCAGATGTGGAAGGATTTATTCCTAAAAGTTAATTGAAGTTAAGGATCAGACTTGTCATGTTTTCATTTAAAGGAGATCACACGGGACCGAGGACACGACCCTGTGGGACTCAAAATCTGACTAAAGCTGGTCCTGGTCATTCAGACCAGCCTCAACAGAGCAGCTGGTGTTTTCTGAGGTTGTGTGACTAAAATGTGTTGAAGGTGTCGTGTTCCAACAGGCGAATCTGATTCACCTGGACATAGAAAGTGCCATGATCGATGCCAAAGGGGGCAAAGTAAAGAAACGACCTGAGACGCTGAAGTAAGAAAACCTCAGACACTTCCTGATGCGCCTTCTAATGCTGGCTGCTGATTGGCTGATTCATCTTACAGGATGATCCTGAAGAGCGACGGCATGATCCCGCCTCCACCCACGACCCCCGCCCCCGAGGCGCCAGCCTCATCCAATCAGGACAACAGGGGGCGGGTCGCCGCCTGGTCAGCATGGGCCAATGAACAGCAGCACTGTGAGTGATGTCATAAAGGGAAGGAAGGGGAGGGGGTCAGTGACCTTGTGGATATGCAGAACGAGCGCCTCAGAACCTCCGCCATGTTGTGAGTGGCATATATTTATTGGGAACAAATAAAATTACATTTAAGCAAAAATTTCACAATAAAAGTCATGCATTAACAGAAGTTGAACTTAAGTTTGACTTGCATTAATAATCAGGTGTTTGGCACCGCTAGCTAACATGTTAGCTGTGCTAATACTAAAGCATTTATCATAAATATTAGCGGAAGCTAATGCTAAAGTGACAGCACATATTATGTTGTTACCCAGAATGTGTCAATGACACAACATGAGGTATAATAAAGTATAGCGCCCTCAGCAGGTTGTTACACACATACCCGCACTTTTGTGCATCAGGTAGTGAAACTTTCACTCAAACTATATCGACATGAAAACGCTAAAGCGCCAATTTAACACTCTACATATTCTCTAACATTGTATCATATCTTACTCTCTGCTGTCCATTTTATTTTGTTTCTTAAGTAGTTATTTAGGGAAAAAAGAGAAAACACAACTACTGTAAAAAATAACCGCATAAATATAAACATCTACTTTGAATAATTAAGTCAAAAACCTTCAACACAGATTTTTAACATTTTTATATTCTAATAAATTAACGTTTCTTAGACTAATTAATTTAAAGAAACTCAGTGTGCTAAATGTTTCCAGCTAAGATGTTAAGCTTTGCTATTAGCAGAAGTTTCTCCTCTGATTATAATTATTATCAGTGACCATCATCTAGAAATCATAATAAGTTAAACACCACAACCTGAAAACACAGATTACATTTCCAGTTTCATCGGGATTATAATCTGTTCTTCTGCAGCTTCATGGACTGGTGAGGCTGCTGGTCTGAGCTCCTCTCCATGCTGGTTTCCAGTTTAGTTTTCACAAATATTAACTGGAGCTATCCGCAGTTAGTGGATGGGACCAGTTAGTGGATGGGACCAGTAAGTAGATGGGTCCAGTTAGTGGATGGGTTCAGTTAGTGGATGGGACCAGTTAGTGGATGGGTCCAGTTAGTGGAATGGGTCCAGTTAGTGGAATGGGTCCAGTTAGTGGAATGGGACCAGTTAGTGGATGGGACCAGTAAGTAGATGGGTCCAGTTAGTGGATGGGTTCAGTTAGTGGATGGGTCCAGTTAGTGGAATGGGTCCAGTTAGTGGAATGGGTCCAGTTAGTGGAATGGGACCAGTTAGTGGAATGGGACCAGTTAGTGGAATGGGTCCAGTTAGTGGAATGGGTCCAGTTAGTGGAATGGGTCCAGTTAGTGGAATGGGACCAGTTAGTGGAATGGGTCCAGTTGGTGGAATGGGTCCAGTTAGTGGAATGGGACCACTTAGTGGAATGGGTGCAGTTAGTGGATGGGTCCAGTTAGTGGATGGGTTCAGTTAGTGGAATGGGACCAGTTAGTGGAATGGGTCCAGTTAGTGGAATGGGACCAGTTAGTGGAATGGAACCACTTAGTGGAATGGGTGCAGTTAGTGGATGGGTCCAGGTAGTGGATGGGTCCAGTTAGTGGATGGGTTCAGTTAGTGGAATGGGACCAGTTAGTGGAATGGGTCCAGTTAGTGGAATGGGACCAGTTAGTGGAATGGGTAAAGTTAGTGGAATGGGACCAGTTAGTGGAATGGGTCCAGTTGGTGGATGGGTCCAGGTAGTGGAATGGGACCAGTTAGCGGAATGGGTCCAGTTGGTGGAATGGGATCAGTTAGTGGAATGGGTCCAGTTGGTGGATGGGTCCAGGTAGTGGAATGGGTCCAGTTGGTGGATGGGTTCAGTTAGTGGATGGGTCCAGTTAGTGGGTGGGACCAGTAAGTGGATGGTACCAGTAAGTGGATGGGTCCAGTTAGTGGATGGGTCCAGTAAGTGGATGGGTCCAGTTAGTGGTTGGGACCAGTAAGTGGATGGGTCCAGTTAGTAAATGGGTCCAGTTAGTGGAATGGGTCCAATTAGTGGATGGGACCAGTAAGTGGATGGGACCAGTAAGTGGATGGGTCCAGTTAGTGGAATGGGTCCAATTAGTGGATGGGACCAGTAAGTGGATGGGACCAGTAAGTAAATGGGTCCAGTTAGTGGAATGGAACCAGTTAGTGGATGGGTCCAGTTAGTGGATGGGTCCAGTTAGTGGATGGGTCCAGTTAGTGGATGGGACCAGTAAGTGGATGGGTCCAGTTAGTAAATGGGTCCAGTTAGTGGAATGGGTCCAATTAGTGGATGGGACCAGTAAGTAAATGGGTCCAGTTAGTGGAATGGGTCCAATTAGTGGATGGGACCAGTAAGTGGATGGGACCAGTAAGTAAATGGGTCCAGTTAGTGGAATGGAACCAGTTAGTGGATGGGTCCAGTTAGTGGATGGGTCCAGGCTCACAGCTGGCTCACAGCTGGCCACAGTTAGTGGATGGTTCCAGATTTAGTGTATGGGACCAGTAAGTAAATGGGTCCAGTTAGTGGAATGGGTCCAGTTAGTGGATGGGTCCAGTTAGTGGATGGGTCCAGTTAGTGGAATGGGTCCAGTTAGTGGATGGGACCAGTTAGTGGAATGGAACCAGTTAGTGGATGGGTCCAGTTACTGGATGGGTCCAGGTAGTGGAATGGGTCCAGTTAGTGGATGGGACCAGTAAGTAAATGGGTCCAGTTAGTGGAATGGGTCCAGTTAGTGGAATGGAACCAGTTAGTGGATGGGTCCAGTTAGTGGAATGGGACCAGTTAGTGATGTATTGTAAGTCAGAGTGGGCGGTTCCAGGCCTGGAAGTTTGGTCTTCTGTGACCTGTAGCTGTTTCTCCACCTCCACACACCTGAGTCTCCTAACGAGCTCGTTAGCAAGAGAATCTGGTGATTGAGCGTGTTGGACCAAGGAGACTCTAAGCTGCAGGACGTCGGCCCTCTGGGACCGGGACGGGATGGCCCTTTGTTCTAAGCAATGACCCGCGTGGCAATGTGTTGCAGGCGAGCAGCAGCAGCCGTCGCAGGACGACGGCGCGGCGGACGTGTCAGCGCTACGGGTGGACCGGGATGTGGTGAGGCTCACAGCTGGCGCAGATTTCTGCATGGAGAAAGTTAAGCTGATTGCAGACCCAGTTTGATTTGAACATAATCAGAGTTTGGAGGAAAATCAGCTTAAAGTTTAGAGCAGCAGGCCGACTGTTGGTTCAGGTTTAATCATTAATGCCTCAGCAAACTGACTCGTAATCCACGTTGTTGTTCGTGCAGCAAATCCTGAACCACATCCTGGACGACGTGGAGTTCTTTGTGACGAAACTGCAGAAGGCAGCTGAGGCGTTCAGCGAGCTGAGCAGGAGGAAGAAGGGCAAGAAGGGCAAGAAGAAAGGGCCGGGAGGTGGCAAATTCAGACATTACTGTTTCTAATGCAACATATGAGATATTAGAAATAATCTCAATATTTAGACTTTTTTAATATACATTATTTATTTGATATACATTTGGATATTGGTTCAAATTTAAACATTAATTGTGTGCATTTTGAAAACTATGGAGTTAGTTTTAGTTGATTTTTAAATCCCAACTAAATATTTTCCATGTTCGTTTTACTAATGATCAAAATTAGTTGTTTTCCATTCTAAAATATGAGGACTATCAACAAAAAACTTTTTCGACCTCAATTTTAATATTGTTTACTTGGGGTTATTTTGTATTTTAATTTTAATTCAATTATTTGTTTCCTAAAATGACTAATTGTTTTTGTTTTGAGGAAATAACACAAAGATTCCACAATAATTGGCTTTAAGTAAATAAAATAAAATCAGGATCTAAAGAGAAACAATTGATGTGGCTGTGCTCGTTTCGTCCACCAGAGGGCGTCCTGTCCCTGAGGGCCAAGCCTCCCAGTGAAGAAGAGTTTGTGGACTGCCTGCAGAAATTCAAACATGCTTTCAACCAGCTGGTAACTGGTTCTAGTTCATTTAAACTGGTTTGGTTCTGATCCATACGATAGCCAGGGGGTTACTGGTTCTGGTTCTGCAGAACCTTTTGACCGTCTGCTCTGACCTGCAGGCAAAGCTGAAGGACCACATTCAGAACCCTAGTGCCGTGGATCTGGTCCATTTCCTGTTTACCCCGCTCAGGATGGTAGGTCCAGGAAGTGACATCACTAACGGTGGATCCGCTCCAACAGAACTGAGCAGAATTCCAGGGTCTCTCTGTCCCCAGGTGGTCCAGGCGTCCGGCGGTACCGAGCTGGCCCGCAGCGTCCTGGTTCCGCTGCTCAGCAGAGACGCCATCGAGTTCCTCCACGCCGCAGGAACGGCTGAAGAGCGCCACCTGTGGGTGACTCTGGGCGACGGCTGGACCAAGTGCAGGTCAGAACCACGACCCGGTTATGTTCTATACCGGACCTGGTTCTTTTCAGGTTCTTGTCTGATTTTATATTTGGCCCATATTTCTTCCTGTAACAGAACAGAGAACAGGATGGATAAAGTCCTGCTTCTGGTTCTGTGCTCTTCTCATGATTTCTGTAGGCTTCAGTGAGATTTTCTTATTTTCATATTTGCTTTATGTTCTCATCACAAGTTTCTCCTCGCTTCAATAATTTATTCTGTTTCCTGTAAGCAGCCTCTGTCTGTTTTCATGGTTACTGATCTGCTGCTCCGTGGGTTTTCCAGGCTGGAGTGGCCAAAGGACCACTACTTCCCCCAGGTGGCGCTGCGGTTCCGGGACGGCTGGGAGCCCCCTGCGGTTCCGGCTGTGGCCCCGAATCGGGAGCAGGAACTCCTGCAGCTGGCCGAGAGCCTGGTGAACGCCGACGCCCGCGGCGCGGCCGACCTGCGGCCGTGTTTGGAGGTCGGTCGATCGGACCCTGACAGAGGCTCTGGTTCCGACGCCCGCTAACGCCTTTCATGTTCTGTGTTTCTGCGGCAGGGGGCACTGCAGCGGTTTCCTCTGGCTGACGGGTACGCTCTCCATAACTCCGCCCACAAACGCTTCCAGGTCCTGGACCAGAACACGGCCGTGGCTGCTTTCAAACACGCCGTCAGCCGCCGTGTGGACCGGTAACCGCAGGTCACATGACGCCCTGGAGAACTGGCCCACGCCGCTAGTGGGTTAGGGGTTGGGGTTAGCCCCTAACCGCTAACCCCCCCCAGCTAGCCGCAGCGCTAGCCACTAGCACTGCCGCTAACGCTGCGTCTAGCGCCATTGGCTCAGTCATTAGTAAATACATGAAGAATCAAAATATAAAGAATATATTGATGGTTTTAATAGTCACTCTAAACATTTAAAAATACTGATTTATTTTTATTTACATTTGAAAATTGTAATAATTCCAAATATTTAGTATTTATGTGTTCAATGAAGATAAAGATTAAGTGATAAATTTTTCTGCAGCTCAATTTGAGTTTTCATAAAAAATATTAATTATTCTGACATTTAAAAGAGTTTATTAGGTTTTTCTATTTATTTGTAATTATTTCTTTAATTGAACGTATTTTCCATAATTTGTACTTTTTTGGTTCAATTTTACGTCATCTATTGATAAAAATCAAAGGTTGTTTTCGTTCATGTATTTATTAATGTTTTAAACTGATGAAGTTTGGTTCTTTGTCTTTGTTGATTCTGTTCTTCATTCCTCTTTTCAAACCAGATCATCAGACTTTCTTCCATCTTTAAATACTTCTGAACTGCACCAAAAGGTTCTGGGTCGGGTCTGGATCCAGAACCTTTTGATCACAGGGAACATTTCTCCAGGGCGTCTGGCCCATGTTGGGTCTGTTTGGATCCGTTACCAGACTCTCGGATGCTCCTAGTATTGGCGCTGCTGCAGTCCGGTTCTCATCGTGACCCATTCTCTCCCTCAGGACTTTGGACCCTCAGATCCAATTGGATCAGAACCTCTTTGCCAAATCAAAGTACGACTTTGTGGCGAGGAACAACACGGAGCTGTCGGTCCTGAAAGACGAACTCCTTGAGGTAATCGGTTCTGGTTCTGTTCTGAGTCCGAATGATCATCTTCTTTAGAACACAGAACCAGAACAAGCAGGTTCTGCTGAACTGTCAGGAACAATTTCTAGATCAGGAGTCAGAGCTGCCGGACCCTGGGTTCTGTCTGGCAGGTTCTTGATGACCGGAAGCAGTGGTGGAAGGTCCGGAACGGCGCTGGCGCTGCCGGCTACGTTCCAAACAACATCCTGGAGCTGACCAGAACCTCGGATCTGACCGGCCGTGGAGACCCGGTCTACAGCCATACCATCCAGGTACCTCACCTTCCTCCTCCTCCTCTTCCTCTTCTTCATCATCATCATCATCTCGCTCATCTTCATCCATATTTCGTTTCTCTTGGCTGAAGCTCATGATGCCTAAGAAGGAGTTTGAGTTGTTTAAGGTAGGAAGAGCCGCCTCCGGTTCTGATGCTCCGGTTCAGGTTTTGATGCTCTGGTTCTGTTTCCTGGTTGCTTTGCTGTGGTCTCTTAAAGGAACAGTCCCTCATTTCTGAACGATTTGGGTCAGATTCATGTCTTCATTTCTCTGTATCTCAGAACCATCCTTCAGGGTCGGACCGGGTCTTTACCCAACCCAGTTATGATTCTGGTCCTTTTTCAGCGTTTCTCCAGAATGTTCAGCGCAGAGTGATGGTGGTTCTGACCCACCTTTCGGCTTTAGTCAGTTTCTCCGTCCAATCATAATCAGCCTGTGTCTTCTGCTAGATTGCTTTCTGTCCAGTCAGAGCCCAGTAGATTTGATCTCTGATTGGTTCTGGAGGAACTGGACCTGAAGGTTCTGTGAACCAGTCCACGTGAGGTTCTGACCCACAGCTGGTCATTTCCCATCAGAACCAGCATAGCCAGTCGGTCCAGAGGACGGGTTCTGGTTCTGTATGTCTGCAGATTGTTGGACTGTTCCTTTAATCGGCGTGGAGCCGCGGGTTGCTCAGCCTGGGAGGGAAAAACGGGTTTCAGTGAAACTCTTCGTGAATCCACAGACGACTAAACATTTAGTTTAAATATTTAGCAAATATTTAACTCCACACTAAACATTAGTTAGCCTTTGAATTAAATAAAATATTTAATTCAAAGGCTAAATATTTAACTTACTAACTAAATACTTATCTCCATAAATAGAAAGCTAACTATTTATCTTTAAACTATGGCATTTACAAATTGACTTCTTAAAAATAAAAACACAATATGACTTATGAACCCTGTTTTTTTTCTCTTCTGACTAAATAACCCAAATTATTGCTGTGAGTTATGACTGTGTGACTGCAGTTGGTTCCTACAGTAGAGTCCCTGGTGGTCAAATTTAGTGAGTTCATGGTGAATAAAACATGTTTTATCTTCTGACCTCCATCTTTGCTCCATTTCACTTCAGCAGCAGTTACTGGGAGAGTTAAACGAGGTAAACCATCATTTCCTCATCGTTCGGGATGATCCCAGAGAACTAATAACTCATTTACCAGAAAATCCATCAGCTGAACAAAATCCTGATTTCATCTGCTGGTTTTTATTCCTGGCCTGGATCAGGCTAAAGCTGAGCAGCCACAACTAAATTAGCAGGAGCTAACGCTAACCATTGAGTCAACTGTCTCTCATCTTCATCTCCTTCCTGTTAATGGCTGGTCTGAGATGCGCTAACAGGAAGTTCTGAGTTTCTGATCCTGATAAATATTACCACATTAAAGTCGTAAGAATATGATGACCAAAGCTGAAAACACTTAACATAAAGTTCATCCATGTCATGAAAATGAATCAATTTAAGGTAATTTGTTTAACCACTTAACTGGCGGTACCGAAATCACCAAAAACATCTGAAAACAAATTAAATCAGCTGCTATTTTCTCTTTTTGCTGTCAAAAATACTTTAATTGTAAGTAGTTTGTAGCTATTATGTTTGTAACACAAAAGAAATAGAAAAATTTTGCTTCACCCAGATTTTTCATTTTTATTTCTTGTAAATGCACATTGAGTGTTGAATATATGGACTGGAAAACACAATAAATCTGTAGAATAAAGTATTCTGCTCATAGATTTCATGACTGATCAAACTAGCTCAAAAAGAAATGTCACTTTGGACATGTTTATTTTTGAGCATGCACAGATGTTGTCCAAGTGCCATTTGGACAACATCTGACATACAAACTTCAAATGACTGTAAGTCCTCAGTGCTTCAACAACAGTCAGGGTCTAATGAAAGGCAATGACCTGAGGAATCCTCTGGTAGACACATTATTACTGATAGTGGAAATTACTCATAATAAATAAAATAGCATATCTGTCAAGTTTTGGAATTGACAATACATTTAGCAGGTTGCCGCCACTGTTAGAGCAGGGAGGGATGGACAGAGAGGCGATTATCAGTGTACAGTCAGACCTCCTCCCTCTTGCGATACACTACCACCACCCTCTGATGGTACGCTAACCCAACCCCCTAATGATACACTAACCCAACCCCCTAATGATACGCTAACCCAACCCCCTAATGATACGCTAACCCAACCCCTAATGATACACTAACCCAACCCCCTAATGATACGCTAACCCAACCCCCTAATGATACGCTAACCCAACCCCCTAATGATACACTAACCCAACCCCCTAATGATACGCTAACCCAACCCCCTAACGATACGCTAACCCAACCCCCTAATGATACGCTAACCCAACCCCCTAATGGTACGCTAACCCAACCCCCTAATGATACGCTAACCCAACCCCCTAATGGTACGCTAACCCAACCCCCTAATGATACGCTAACCCAACCCTCTAACGATACGCTAACCCAACCCCCTAATGGTACGCTAACCCAACCCCCTAATGATACGCTAACCCAACCCCCTAATGATACGCTAACCCAACCCCCTAATGGTACACTAACCCAACCCCCTAATGGTACGTTAACCCAACCCCCTAATGATACGCTAACCCAACCCCCTAATGATACGCTAACCCAACCCCCTAACGATACGCTAACCCAACCCCCTAACGATACGCTAACCCAACCCCCTAACGATACGCTAACCCAACCCCCTAATGATACGCTAACCCAACCCTCTAACGATACGCTAACCCAACCCCCTAATGGTACGCTAACCCAACCCCCTAATGATACGCTAACCCAACCCCCTAATGATACGCTAACCCAACCCCCTAACGATACGCTAACCCAACCCCCCAACGATACCCTAACCCAACCCCCTAATTATACGCTAACCCAACCCCCTAATGATACGCTAACCCAACCCCCTAATGGTACGCTAACCCAACCCCCTAATGGTACGTTAACCCAACCCCTAATGATACGCTAACCCAACCCCCTAATGATACGCTAACCCAACCCCCTAATGATACGCTAACCCAACCCCCTAATGATACGCTAACCCAACCCCCTAATGATACGCTAACCCAACCCCCTAACGATACGCTAACCCAACCCCCTAATGATATGCTAACCCAACCCCCGCCCCAGACATTGGTGAGAAAAAGTCCTGTAAACACCGTAGCACATGAGGGTGCACAAAGCTTGACTTTCCCTTCAGCATGTCACAGCAAAGGCGCACCTATTAGGTGTGATTATGTATGCAGCTGGTGGATTCATGTTAAACCAAACCTAAAACCCCTGATATCTTTATGACAGACACGTGTCGGCTACACATCAATGGCTTTAGATTTAGTTTCCAAGTTGACCTGTCAGAAAGAATACAGGCATGTCAAAACAAGCTCAAATCGCTCTCTGGATATTATTGACTTGGGAAAAATAATTTCATTATTAGTGGAATGCATTGTCGGTCAAAGGGGGAAGGCTCTAGGCTGCCATACAAAAGCATCATAGTGGACACCAGCAGAGTTTAAAGAGGAGAAAAAGGCAGAGAATTCAGACAAATTCGATTTGTCCCATCGATGGGGCGCCGCCAGTTAAAAGGGTTAAAAGGCTCTAAACTGCAGCCATGTTGAAAAACGTCCTTCGTCAAGTGGCTGATGGGAAATCTGAGGAGCATCCAGCCTGAGGGGTTAGTATGCTAATGTTTATGCTACTACCTACATATTGCTTCAGTGATGGGCTGCAGTATGAAATCAGAATAGTTTCCCCAGTTCCAGGTTTTAAGGCGCACCTTACTGTGACCTTTGAACTTCTGATAAGGCTCCAAACATCATGTTTGGAGCCTTAGTGTCAGGAAGAACCAGACACTAAAGCGATTCTGTTTTCCAGAAACAGACCACAAAGTCGGACACACCTCCAGGTAAACCTCAGATGTCCGAGGTCCCGTCGCCGCCCGCCCCCAACCGGCTCCCCACGCCGCCACTTCCTCCACCCGCCGCAGAACCTGGGAAACCGAGCAGCATCACGCTCAGCCGCAACAACAGCAGCACATCAAGCGACGCCGGCGGCACCGCCGCAAGGGAGCCGGGTGCACAGAGAGCCACTGCCGCCGCAGGACGTGAGTTCACTCCTCACAGGAAGTTGTAAACAGGAAGCTGTAAACAGGAAGCTATAAACGAGAAGCTGTAAACAGGAAGCTTTAAATGGGAAGTTGTAAATGGGAAGCTGTAAACAGGAAGCTGTAAACGGGAAGCTGTAAACGAGAAGCTGTAAACAGGAAGCTGTAAACGGGAAGCTGTAAACGGGAAGTTGTAAACAGGAAGTTGTAATGGGAAGTTGTAAACAGGAAGCTGTAAACAGGAAGCTGTAAACAGGAAGCTATAAACGGGAAGTTGTAAACAGGAAGTTGTAATGGGAAGTTGTAAACAGGAAGCTGTAAACAGGAAGTTGTAAATGGGAAGCTGAGCCATTATCAGAACATTGTTGTCTGAAAACTCCAGACTCAAGCTGAGTTTTGTGTGTTTTTTTGACCCTCTCATGTCCTGTCGTGGTTCTGGTTCTGCAGGCAGAAAGTCCAATATGGAGGAGGTCCAGGACGAGCTGGTTCACCGACTGACTTTGGGTCGGAGCGCCCAGAAAAAGTTTCAGGTTCCGTCTCAGAGCAACAGCGGCAACCTGCCGGCTCCAGGAATCACCTATGACTCTCCGCCAGACGAAGTGAAGGCCTGGTTGGAGGCTAAGGGCTTCAGCCCAGTGTGAGTGCACCGGACCGGGCCTCTGGACCGGACCGGACCGGGCCGTGACTCCTTGCTGTTTCTCTGCAGGACGATCAGCAGCCTGGGCGTTCTGACCGGAGCCCAGCTGTTCTCCCTCAACAAGGAGGAGCTGAAGACGGTTTGTCCCGACGACGGGGGAC